GCATCTACCAAGTGAGTGCGAGCGAGACAAAGCATTGGAAAGAACGCGAGAAAGAGAAATGCCCAAACGTGCTTGAATGTTCACCGCATGCGCACAAAGCAGCTGGAGAGAGAGGCTACTATATTGTCTGCACCGTAACGGTGGGCTTCAGGGGGTCGATTGTGTATCACGAAGTCTAGTAAAAATCATAAAAGTGAGCAAATTTACTAGTTGTTGACCAATAAGATCATAGATATCATAGTAAATTTGCTCACCTTTGTACTTTTCACTACACTGCGTGATACACAATCGACCCTCAGGTCGGCACCGTACTAGCAATATAGGAGTATTACATATATGGGCTATAGCTATGGCTGTGTTCAGTTAAGCAAGATGGAACGAACTAATGCAGGAAATGCAGGAAATACAGGAATTGGAACTAATGAATTCCTGTATTTCCTGCATTTCCTGCATTAGTTCGTTCCATTTTGCTTAACTGAGCACAGCCCTGTGTTCAGTTAAGCAAGATAAAACGAACTAATGCAGGAAATACAGGAATTCATTAGTTCCAATTCCTGTATTTCCTGCATTTCCTGCATTAGTTCGTTCCATCTTGCTTAACTGAACACAGCCTATAGCGAAAGAAAGAGAGCGGTTATATATGTCCGTCTCTCTCTACTGCTCGAAGCTGGCCGAAGCGCCGAGCGCACACGTACACGGCTGTTCGCCTGTGTGCGTATCCCCTCCACTTGCTGTTGCATGTTGCTAGCGTCCGCAAACTGGCATCTCTGACTGGCATCTCTGTTACTGGTTATACATATACTGTGATTCAAGTTTCACATAATTTATAAATAAAAAGCAAAAAAATGAACGCACCTCCAACCTTTGAGTCATTTTTGTTATACGAAGGAGAAAAGAAGTAAGTTATCTTACGCATAAAGTATGCGAGTAATGCGAGCAACTTGTTTAGTTCCATAACCTTGTTTTCGCACTTTAGGTCTGTTCTACAATATAGTCGTAAGCTGTAAGTCGCAAGAAATAGGGCAAACACAGATAAATTACAGAAGAATAATCGATTGTGATTGGTCAATTTCTTACGACTTACGACTGTATTGTAGAACAGGCTTTAAAGTCAAAAGCGCTTAAAAGTTCTAATTAGAGTTGAAGGCACATAAAACAACAAAAAATCTCTAAGTGATCAAATGAAATGTAGCTTATATGTATATATATATATATGTTTTTTTTAGGATAATAAAAGAACAAGATACTAAAGTACCAAATGCTGCTATATTTACAGTCAATAAAGAAGATCATACACTAGGAAATATGATTCGCAAGTAAGAACATATGAATGTTGGTTTATTTATTTTTCTCAATAATAACTGCTTACTAATTCTTTTCTACTGTTTCTGATATTTTAAGTCAATTATTAAAAGACCCGCAAGTATTATTTGCTGGTTATAAAGTACCTCATCCACTGGAACATAAGTTTGTTATTAGAATACAGACCACATCAGATTATACACCGCATGAAGCTTTTATGCATGCTATCACTGACCTAATTGCAGAGCTGTCTTTATTTGAAGAACGATTTAAGGTAACTATACTTAAAGTATAAAATATGTAAAAAATTTACATAATACTAAGATACATATAACTTTTTCAGGAAGCAATTAGAGAGAAGAAAGAAGGTTTAGATTAAATATATGAATCCAATATATTTCTTTGTAGTTTATATTTTTTTTAGGTATAAAAAGACCACTTTTGTAAATATTTTAAATATATACAGAATGTCAGATAATTATATCACCTTTCATAATCAATCAAGTAAAACAGGTTGTACTGAGTCAAAGTTTTTTCTAGTTCATGCGTTTTGCAATAATTATTGAGTTATTAATTTATAAAAAAAGTAAACGTTTGTCCGCTGCGTGAAGAGACAACCCAGCATTTTGTGTATTTACTGGCAAAAGTGCTCTGTAAACAATAATAGTTAATAGTAATTTAATTAAAAAAATCAAAAAATTAAAATATTTATTAAATACTTAATAATTGTTTAGTTTGATTAAAATACTCATCCCATTGTTTTGTCATCTAGTAACCACAAACGCGTGAAACGCCGAGTTGCTTTACAACGGATAAACGCTCATTCGCAAACTTTTAGAAATTAATACATAGGTCTGTTCTTTTTATCTGAACTGGCTGCACTAGTTCAGAGTTTATCTTTTTCACTCGACATTGGAAAAAGAAAGATAAACTCTGAACTAGTGTAGCCAGTTCAGGTAAAAAGAACAGACCTCATATCTCATTAATTAATGCGAGATTCGCAAGATGATAAAGATATTCTCAATTTAGTATACGCTCTATCAGAGGTGATATTATTGCTAGAATTACTTTAAATATTTCTTTTGTACTAAAAAAGAAAAAAAATAAAATTTATACGTAATTACTAATTGCATGTTAAAATGATGTTTTCTTATATACATATATAGAAAGTCGCTCTTCCTCATTACGCATGCGCAAAAATAAACTTATATAACATTTGCACACATATGTGTGTGTATATGCATTACTTTTCTCATCATTAATTCTCATTAAATATATATGCATAAATTTTTAATAAAATTAAAAATATATGTATAATTTTTTCGTGTCTTTTATAAATTAGTATTTAGTCTTTTAAATATTACATTTATATATTTAAAATTTATGTTTTAATAAAATATAAACTATACGATCTGCGTGCCGTTGTATGCAATTACATGCTTGCTGCATATTTGCAGCTATATATTTATTTTGTTTGTGATTTTTACATTCTATTCACACACAGCAATATATATACTTACATTTAATCTAATGAAGAAGTTTACATATGATCGTTACATAAGAAATATTAAACTTTTGTAAATTTTTGGTTTAATTTACATACAAAATGTGTTTACAATTTAAAATCAAGAAAAAAGTTCTAATAAATCAAGTTTTATTTACCTATAAGTATCATCACGCTCATGATATCTGCTGCTCTCTTGTCTAATCTTTTGGCGTTTTTATTTTCTGTCGTATCAAAGTGCAATGCTATTTATAGAACTTAAAGCTTTCAATCTTTAAAATATTGTTCAGTCACATTTAGGAAGCCAGCGAAGATCGAATAAAATGGAAAAGATGTATCAAAGTACTTTGGAGGATATTTTGAAGATATACGTACCACCGGCAGAATTGGCTGAAGTTAACCGCCTTTTATATGGACGTGAATTAAAGTACGTATGTACATAAAAAACGTATATATTATTGCTTATTGTATTGTATATAAAACTTTGAGCTATACATATATAATTTACATTGTTGTCAGATCATTGCAAATAGACAAGGAAGATGATAAATATGAAATTAAAGGATGGATGCTGCATAGTAATATCGTGGAAGAAATTCGTCCTATACACTTAGTTCGTGTTGGATTGATACAACATAGCATTGTATTAGACACATCAGCTCGTATTATTGAGCAACGAACTGCAATAACAATGAAAATTGAATCATACATTAAAGATGCAAATATGAATGGTGTTAATATTGTATGTCTCCAAGAAGCGTGGAGTACGTTGTGTAGAATATTAATAATTTTATATTATATTCAGTATATATATGTAAAAATATTGCACAAAACAGTAATGAAATAATTGAGCTACATATGTACTTTATTACAGATATGCCGTTCGCTTTTTGTACGAGGGAAAAATATCCTTGGGTTGAATTTGCGGAAGAAGCTGAAACTGGGCCTAGTACTGTGTTTCTGTCCAAGCTTGCTCAGAAATATGGTATGGTAATAATATCGCCAATTTTGGAAAGAGATTCTATTAACGGCGATACTCTGTGGAATACCTGCGTGGTGATTAATACAGATGGTACAGTTTTGGGAAAACATAGGAAGAATCACATTCCTCGTGTCGGAGATTTTAACGAATCTACATATTATATGGAAGGCAACACAGGACATCCCGTTTTTAATACTCCTTTTGCACGTATCGCAATCAACATATGCTACGGTCGTCATCATCCGTTAAACTGGTTGATGTTTGGCTTGAATGGAGCAGAAGTAAGGGCCTGAGCACAATAGAGAAAATATTAGGAATAAGAATTAGAAAAAGAAGTTAGATGTACTATACAATGACAAAATTTAAAATATAAATACAGGAAGTATGTCATGGCTGCATATACAGCCTATTTATATATATATTATATATATTATTATATATATTATTTATATATATTTATATATTGTATTTTTTTGCATTGTGTATTACATCTAACCTCTGTTTTTAATTCTTATTCCTAATATTTTCTCTATTGTGCTCAGGCCCTAAGAGTTATGGCAATCTTTATCTAGAAAGTGAAATAAGGAAATGAACATATTCCATGCTATTACTTGTAAAGTTTGAATCTGATTTTTTCTATGTCTGAATTATCTTCAGATAGTTTTTAATCCGTCGGCAACTACTGGAGAATTGTCAGAACATTTGTGGCCGATTGAAGCGAGATGTGCCGCTATAGCAAATAATTATTTTACTTGCGCTATCAATCGCGTCGGAACCGAATATTTTGAGCATGAATTTACATCCGGCGATGGGAAACCAGCGCATAAGAATTTTGGACATTTCTATGGTTCAAGTTATATTACTGCTCCTGATGGCACACGAACTCCAGGTTTAAGTCGTCACAAAGATGGGCTGCTTATTGCAGAATTAGACCTCAATCAATGTCGACAAGTGAAAGATATCTGGGGATTCAGAGTAAGTATTTTCATACTTAGCACACGCACGCTAAGGGCCTGAGCACGATAGAGAAAATATTAGGAATAAGAATTAAGCCCTTTGCACAATGGACGGAATAGCGATAGCGATAGAAATAACAAAAGTTTAAAAGAGTTTATATTTAAAAATAAAGGTAGGAACAGCGGAATCTAACATACAAAACTACACATGTATCAATGCAGATCAGAAAATCGGAATAAGCAATAGCGATAAAATTTCCGACGAGTTGGAATTCTGTGTTAAAAACTGTGTTATTTCTATCGCTATCGCTATTCCTTTCATTGTGCAAGGGGCTTTAGAAATAGAAGTTAAGCCCCTTGCACAATGAAAGGAATAGCGATAGCGATAGAAATAACACAGTTTTTAACACAGAATTCCAACTCGTCGGAAATTTTATCGCTATTGCTTATTCCGATTTTCTGATCTGCATTGATACATGTGTANTTTTGTATGTTAGATTCCGCTGTTCCTACCTTTATTTTTAAATATAAACTCTTTAAAACTTTTGTTATTTCTATCGCTATCGCTATTCCGTCCATTGTGCAAGGGGCTTTAAATGTACTATACAATGACAAAAAATAAAATATATAAGTACAGGAAGTATGTCTTGACTGCATGATATACGGCTTATATTTATATACATTTATATGTTATATTTTATTTTTTCGCATTGTACATTAAGCCTCTTGCACAATGGAAGGAATAGCAATAGCAATAGAAATAACCAGTTTTTAAGAGTTTATATTTATAAATAACGGTAGGGGAACAACGAAATCGAACATACAAAAAATACATATGTATTTATGCAGATCAGAAAACGGAATAAGCAATAGCGATAAAATTTCCGACAAGTTGGAATTCTGGGAGTCGATTCTGTATCACGCAGTGTAGTAAAAATTACAAAAGTGAGCGAATTTACTAAAATATCTATGATCTTATTGGTCAACAACCAGTAAATTTGCTCACTTTTGTAATTTTCACTACATTGCATGGATATAGAGGATGCTTTTCTTTTAGGAGACACAGTCGACACAAGAGTCATTCTGTCTTTGTTTCTCACTGAATACTGAACGAAGACAGAATGACTTTTGTGTCAACTTGTGTCGACTGTGTCTCCTAAAAGGAAAGCAGCCAGTGTCGCCTGTGTACGTAGTTGGAAAGCACCCTTAACCTCTGTTTTTAATTCCTATTCTTAATATTTTCTCTATTGAGAAACTCTGTGCTCAGGCCCTAAGTCTGTAAATATATAGTGTGCATAATCTACAAAATTACAACAAAAAAAACAAAATTTGCTACGTAGGTAGCATGTTTTTTGCATATGCATGTTTTTTTAAATAAGCATCATATCAAGTACTAATATTTTATTTTTATGTAAATTTTAGATGACTCAAAGACTTGGCATGTATGCTAAAAAACTTTCCAACTACGTAAAGCAAAGTGGTGAAGATTAAACGATTGACATAAAAAACTTAATTTTCGAATTAATTTCAATAAATATTTATATAATTTACAAATTCTGATAATATTTTGGACTCAGACTCTAATCAGACTAGGATTTAATTGAAATATGATCACTTCTTCGCAATTTTGGGTGCGTTCACACAACTCAACAGTTGCACAACGGTTTAGAGCATAGAGCTTATACCAGAGAGAAGCCTGAGAGCGGCCATGCCATTGTAGTTTCTTACGACGGTTTCAACCGCTGGTTTTAGCCGTATTTCCACAAAAATGGAACTCAAAGGCCGTTCTCCATGAAACTCAAGTCGCAGGTCTCGTGGAACTGATCAATTTCTGATCAGACGTTGGTCGATTGGCTGATTTGACTCTGCAATTGGTCAATTTCACGAGACCTGCGACTTGAGTTTCGTGGAGAACGGCCTTTGAGTTCCACTTTTGTGGAAATACGGCTAAAACCAGCGGCTGAAACCGTCGTAAGAAACTACAATGGCATGGCCGCTCTTAGACTTCTCTCTGATTCGGATAACAATGTTGATCGTTTTCTTTTAAAGGAAAAACTCCGATGACGATTTGCTCGTAGAACACTGTAAATGCAATGAATTTTTTAATAATAAATAAACTATAATATGTATTATTTCATTCAAAATAATACAAAAATACTATTAACATATGTTTTCACAACAATCCTTTTTAATAATTAATAATGATTACTTACATAAATGTTTCTCTTATTAGAGAAATCTACTATCACATTTCTTATTTATTATTTTAACTAAGGTTAGAGTTAAGGTTAGGATTGATATTACGATTGCGTTTATTTTAAACACTCACACACTTTAAACGCTTCTTTTTTTGTTAACAATAAAGACAAAAAAAAAGCGTTTACCGAAAAACGCGTAAGTGTAAAGACCGAAGCACAGACTTTTGCATAACGCATAACGCATAAGACATAAGAAAATCAACCAATCCAGCTTTTTGTTTTCATCCCTACTTCTTGTTCTTAAAAAAAAGCTTTGGTTGGGTGATTCTCTTATGTCTTATGCGTTATGCATTATGCAAAAGTTTGTGCTTCGGCCTTAAGGGCCTTCTACAATTAGATATTAATAATAAATCAGAAGTCAGAAGCAAGAAATTGACCAATCACAGTCAAATCACAGAAGAATAATCGATTGTGATTAGTCAGTTTATTTCTTGTGACTTCTAATTTATTACTAATATCAGAGAGAAGCCTGAGAGCGGCCATGCCATTGTAGTTTCTTACGACGGTTTCAGCCGTTGGTTTTAGCCGTATTTCCACATATATGTAATACTCCTATATTGCTAGTACCTTAGACCATATATACTTATAGACACGGCCTGTAGATATGAATCCACGAGTCGAGGTGAAGCAAAGATAATATCATCTACGTGACGTCACATGTGGGCATTGTTCGGTTAAACGCGGCCTCGTAGATGATATTATCTTATCTTCAAGGCAGTTATCTGAAGCCGTCTATAAACGCGCCTTTGCTTTGCCCACATGTGACGTCATGTAGATGATATTATCTTTGCTTCAAGATAGTTGTCTGAAGCCGTGTCTATAAGTATATATGGTCTAAGGCTAGTACGGTGCCGACCTGAAGCCACATGTTACGGTGCAGACAATATACAATAGTAGCCTCTCTCTCCAGCTGCTTTGTGCGCATGCGGTGAACATTCAAGCAAGTTTGGGCATTCCTCTTTCTCGCGTTCTTTCCAATGCTTTGTCTCGCTCGCACTCGCTTAGTAGACGCGCCTGCGCATAATGACGCTCGACNATCTATGCCCATATTTGGACATGTTCACCGCATGCGCACAAAGCAGCTGGAGAGAGAGGCTACTATCAGAGAGAAGCCTGAGAGCGGCCATGCCATTGTAGTTTNTTACGACGGTTTCANCCGCTGGTTTTAGCCGTATTTCCACAAAAGTGGAACTCAAAGGCCGTTCTNCATNAAACNCAAGTCNCAGGTCTCGTGGAACTGATCAATCACGTTGGTCGATTGNCTGATTTGACTCTGCAATTGGTCAATTCCACGANATCTGCGACTTGCGTTTAATGTAGAACGGCCTTTGAGTTCCACTTTTGTGNAAATACGGCTAAAACCAGCGGCTGAAACCGTCGTAAAAACTTACAATAGGATGGCCGCTCTCAGATTTCTCTCTGATTATATATATGGCTACACTGATCGCAGTGCAAATATGGCTTCCATTTATGACGTCATTGATGGAACTAAGATGCTATCGCAGCGCGCTGCCAGCTAAAACAGAACGAAATTTTCAGTACTGCCAGTACTGCCAGTAAAAAACAAACGCAGCCGTAGTTGTAAACAAATTTCACCAATCAGAAATTTACGTTCAAAAGTGATGGAGACATAGGTCTAGTTTCCACCAAAGCATTAATTCACACCAAATGCGACGTGGAATCAAATTCAAGTCGATGGAAACCTGTCAAATTGTGCTGATTTCACTTCCGCTTCGATCTATAAGTACTCTACTTCCAATGGAAACAGAGGACTAAATTTGATCAGTACCGGAGTGAAACCGAATTGAGGGTTTCGGTGGAAACTAGACCATAGATTAGTTTATATTGTCTGCACCGTAACGTTTGGGCTTGAGGTCTGCACTGTACTAGCGATATAGAAGTATTAAAGGTCGTCTACAATGGAGAGTTTTAGACCGTAACAGTAAGAAATTGACAAATCACAATCGATTATTCTTCTGTACTTTGTCTGTGATTGGTCAATTTCTTACTATTACGGCCTACAACTCTCCATTGTAGACGGCTCTTTACATGTATGGGTTTCAGCCGCTGATTTTAGGCCTGTTCTACAATACAGTCGTAAGACGTAAGTAGTAAGAAATTGACCAATCACAGATAAATTACAGAAGAATAATCGATTGTGATTGGTCAATTTCTTACGACTTACGGCTTACGACTGTATTGTAGAACAGGCCTTAGCCGTATTTCCTTGAATTTAATGGAGAACAGTTCCACTTTTGTGGAACTCAAAGGCCGTTCTCCATGAAGCTCAAGTCGCAGGTCTCGTGGAACTGATCAATCACGTTGGTCGATTGTCTGATTTGACTCTGCAATTGGTCAATTCCACGAGATCTGCAACCTGCGTTTAATGGAGAACGGCCTTTGAGTTCCACTAAAGGCCTATCTACATAAGACGCAGAACACGAGTCGCAGGTCGCAGGTCGCAGAAACCGAACGCTGGTCGCAAGCGTTTCTGCGTTCACATAATCTCCAATGTCTACAATGCATAGCGAGCACTCTATCTGGTGATAGAGCAGCGGGATCCCAATTATATGACATTTTATTATTATTTTTTGGTTTGTAAAGAAAACACACACACACAATTTTCTTGTTCTAGCGAAATTGTCTGTCGAGCATCAACATGAAACGTAATTGAAAGTCCGCGTTTAAACACGATTGTCCTGATTGGCTGGTCGCTTCGACGCAGAACGCAAAAGTTAAAGTTCACTCAACTTCTGTGCGTCCTGCGTATTAAAGCCTGCGACCTCTTACGACCGGAAATACGTCACGCTGCGTCCAATCTTGCGACCTGCGACTCGTGTTCTGCGTCTTATGTAGATAGGCCTTAAACCAGCGGCTGAAATCGTCGTAAAAAACTATAATGGCATGGCCGCTGTCAGGCTTCTCTCTGATCCTATTGTAGTTTCTTACGACGATTTCAGCCCTGGTTTAATGCTATATCCACAAAAGTGGATCTTAAAGCCCATTCCACATTAAACGCAAGTAGCAAGTCTCGTAGATCTGATCAATCACGTTGGTTGATTAGCTGATTTGCCTATGCGATTAGTCAATTTTATGAGACCTGTGACTTGCGTTTAATGTAAAGAGCCATCTACAATGGAGAGTTGTAGGCTGTAATAGTAAGAAATTGACCAATCACAGACAAAGTACAGAAGAATAATCGATTGTGATTTGTCAATTTCTTACTGTTACGGTCTAAAACTCTCCATTGTAGACGACCCTTAAAACAGCATTTGAGTTTCACTTTTGTAGATATGGAGCTAAAACCAGCGGCTGAAATCGTCGTAAAAAATTACAATAGGATGGCCGCTCTTGGCGTTGATTCTGTATCATGTAATGTAGTGAAAATTACAAAAGTGAACAAATTTACTAGTTGACCAATAAGATCATAGATATTTTAGTAAATTCGCTCACTTTTGTAATTGGTCTAGTTTCCACCGAAACATTAATTCACACCTACTGCGGCGTAGAATCAAATTTAAGTCGATGGAAACACGTCGAATTGCACTCAATTCACTTTTGCTTCGATCTATAAGTTTTACCGGAATGGCAGCAAATTGACATACAATTTTAATCGGTGGAAACGTTTGAAACTAAATAATGCCAACCTCTATTTTTCATTATGTCTGCATTATGTCGGGTCTTGTTAAGAAGTCGATGCAAGTTGAAAATAAAAACATAAAATATATGATTGAATCATTTCCGCGGAGTCAATTAGAAGTTTCTCGGATTATATTCTTTTCAGGTTATGTCTGTTTATATTTACACAAACGAGTTTTAAGTTGGCTCTACTGAAATATTAATTTTTCTTACTTCTATTCTACTTCCAATGGAAACGGAACACTAAATTTGATCTGTACCGGAATGGAACCGAATTGAGGATTTCGGTGGAAACTAGACCATTGTCACTGCGTGATACAGAGGGTCGATTCTGTATCACGCAGTGAAAATTACAAAAGTGAGCGAATTTACTAAAATATCTATGATCTTATTGGTCAACAACTAGTAAATTTGCCTCCTGATAAATTGTGTTTTCAAGTTCTCTTTCTTCTTTCTCAACTTTTGTTTAACTCTGATTTGTGATTATCACTAAGGCAAATTCGTATCAATTTGTCGCTTCCCGTCGCATATACATGTATGTACATACATACATATTCTGCCTTTCTGTTCTGACGAATCCACGCTCGGATAATAGAGAGAGAGGGGAGGAGTAAAAGATCTAACTTTACTCAGTCATCAGCAGTATTCGTTGTGATT